CCGCCCCTAACTTTCTTCCAACCGTCCCGAACGAGTGTCTTCTACTCTTAATGGCCATGTTTCGCTGCCGTAAATTAAAACAGAACGGACTGCCGCGCAGTATACTCGTCCTCTTATTGATAGACGGATATCTCGCCTTCGCCATAGGTGACGCAAGTTGGCAAAAGCCAATCGAGCTTTTCGAATCCGTGCTGAGATTTCGTCCGATACCAACTCATTAGGGCTGATCAGACTTCCAAGATAAGTGAAGTTGTCAACGCGTTCGACTACTTCACTCCCTATCCTGAGTTCAGGTGTTAACGCAGACCAGTCCTGAAGCAACAACTTGCATTTAGAGGGAGAGAAGCGCATTCCAAACATTCTGGCATTGTTGCTCAGTGCTACCAGAAGACTCTGCATTTTGTCAGCGTCTTCACCAAACAGGACTATATCATCTGCGCACTCTAAGTCGATAAGTGGACCTCCTGGTAGGAGATCAATACCCGAGAACTCAGTCGACGAGAAAGTTATTTCCATCTGTAGATCTATGATGAAGTTAAACAAAAATGGGGAAAGTGAACAGCCTTGACGGACACCACTTGAGGTTGCAAAAGTAGATGACAGTTCGCCATAAGCTCTCACTCGACTAGTAGTGTTCGAGTAAAGAGCCTTTATAAGGTTTATTTACTTCTGGGGTACGCCTTTCAATGACAGAGACTGCCACAGAATCTCGCGGTCTACAGAGTCAAATGCTGCTTTTAAGTCGAGAAAGACCACCATTGTCGGACGCCGATAAGTATGCCTGTGTTCTAGAATCTAACGAATGGTGAATATGTGGTCGATGCAGCCCCGACCAGGTCTAAAGCCAGCTTGGTTCTCTCGTATTTGCAATTCACGAGTCTTTGTTAGGCGTCCGATAATTATTGAGGCTAGTATTTTAGATGCTGTGTTAGTCAAATTAATCCCTCTATGGTTATCACAGGATGATTTTGACCATTTCTTATATATTGGGACGATAAGTGATTGCGACCAGTCAGATTGGATAAAGTCTAATTCCCAGATCTTAGCTAAAATATTAGTCAACTTAATCGCTAAAATTGGACCACCATCCTTAAAGACCTCTGGAGCCAATCCATCTGGACCAGCTGCCCTTCCTCGTTTCAGATTAACTATAGCCTTTTGAACTTCAGCAAGAGTTGGGGGACCTACTTCAATGTTCCATTCACACTGTCTGGGAATGGAGGGTAGTTGTAGAGTAGCCGAAGGCCAGCTGAACTGTTCCCTAAAGTGTTCCGCCCATCGTTCTAAACGCCTGGACTGGGAGCACATGAGTGCATCGTCTTTTTCCGATATAATCTCACTTACACTTGACTTATTAGTTCCAGTTTATTTTATTAGTCTGTAAAGCTATCTTGTGTTCCCTATAGTCGCCGCCTTTTCCATCTCTTTTGCTTTCGTTGCTCACCACTGCTCACGGTCGTTTCTTAGACTTTTTCTTAACCTAGATCTGATTTGTTGTTGCTCTTCATCATGTTCAGAACCTGATGGGACGAGTTTGCGAGAATCCATCAGCGTGATAGACTTTGAAGAAATCCACTGGTTCTTTGAAACTCTGTGGTTTAAGTCGCTAAAAGATGTCACTGCTGTTTCCACAGCTGTTTGTATGGCTTTCCAAGCAACAACTGGGTCAACCTCGTTTTCAGAACTACCTAATCGTGACCTCAGTTGTTCCTGGAACCTACTTTTGGTTTCCTCGCTACTCAGTTCGGTTCTAATGGGTCTTTTTACTGTGGCTTTTTTGCGTCCAGTGAGGCGCAAGCAGATGCGTGCCCGTATTAGGGCGTGGTCGGAGTCCAAGCAGGTACTCCAGAATGAACGACAATCTTGTACCGACCCTCTCCAACGATGACTGATGACAATATGGTCTATTTGAGTCCATCGTTGGTTTGGTGCAGGCGGTCGCCACGCTAGACGATGTCTCTCCTTATGCTTAAAATGTGTTTGCTAAAAATAAGCGATTGTCTGAGCACAGTTGCAGCAGACGATCACCATTATCTGTTCGCTGTGTCGGAATGCTAAAATATCCACCTAAATGCCTTTCTGTTTGGTTTAAGCTACTTATCTGAGCATTAAAGTCACCCCCTACGAGTACCATATCTGAGCGTTTAGCTTTCTGAAGAAGTTCGGACAGCTTTCTGTAAAATTCATCTTTCACATCATCTGAGCTGCAGTCAGCGGGAGCGTAGGCAGAAACGACGAAAAGGCAACGACGTGTGTTCCTATCCTTCCGAGTTTTCACGGAGCCGTTTAGCCGAACAGCACATAGACGACTGTTGACGGGGATCCACTCTAGCAGTGCTTGTTCCGCCCTCATGCTTAGTGCTATGCCTACACCTGCCAGTCCACGAGAACTGGCCATCGGATCACCAGATACACGTAGGGTGTATCTCGTTGGCTTTCCGTTTTGCCGAGATGAGGTCAAGTGAATGACCACACTGGAATCCTGTATGTGTGTTTCGGAGACACAGCATACATCAATCGAAAGAGACTCTAGGGTTTTAGCCAAGGAAGCCTGCTGACCAATTTGACATAGAGTGCGTACGTTGAAAGCTCCAATGTGTAGTTTGGAGCGAGGTTTCAGTAGACCTGGGACAGAGTTTTGAGCACTAGAATCGTTGGCTATGGTGACACTTGAGGAGGAAGCCGAACGAGGAAGTTTAGAGTTGAAAGTCGATGTAGGAGGAATAATAGGAATTGAAGAGGAAGGTTGATTGTGAATACAGTGGTCTTGGGTGCTGTTAGAGGTATAAGGGCGGTTATCACTTCCCGGTTGCCCACACCGTGGAAGGGTTGTTCTGGAGGTACCTGAAAAGGAAATTGGATTAGAGGCGGTCTCAGTGACCTGAGAGCGTGACCGCAATGCCCAAGGGACAACTGCTTGAGGCCGGTCGCGCACGGCCTTTTCGTGGGAGGTTTTTGACGTGTTAGCTCCGTTCTTCAAAGGGCCTTACCGCCGGAGACGGAAATCCGTGAGGTAAGGTGAGGTGTGCATTTTTAGGGTCGGCCTTTCCTAACCCCACCCCTCCTTGTGGGAAGGCAGCATCGCTGTCATGCTGGTTGTCTGAAGTTAACACCTTACTGCTGTCACACCTCTGTACAGTCAGCAGTACGACTTCGCCTTCGGACCTTGGGTTTGTTGCTTTTAGTCTTACCGCTCTTCAACCGACCTGTCTGACATGGTAGGACCTTGAGGAACGGTTGTTCCAGTCAGTATAGCTCGGTTGCTTCATCACGATAGGCAAGCCCGAACACCACGTCAAGGTAGCAACAACGGTCGGGAGTGCGACAAGGCAATAAACAGGACTTTTCTGGCAGAGGCTATACACGCGTGGCCATGTGAGAGGATTTAGAGAGGGAGGGCGGGCTTTCCCCACTCTCGGCCGTATCAGGGTATTTGAGGGGTCCTATGTTGCAGCTGACTGACTGATTTTGGAGTAATGAAATATTACTGTCACACTTCCTGTAGACAATCCAGTTAATTTTTTGATGAAAACGTCATTTTGTGTTTGAGAATGGGTGAGACAAGGCATTCTAAAGAGTGCCTTAAAGCTCGAACTAGACATTTCAGTTTATATAACTAACGCTGACTCCTATTGAAGGAAAATGTTTGACATCGTCGAGTTGCCGACAAACCTCAACCTCGAACTTCAATCGTTGGCAACGTAGGTATGCTAAGTGACAAAACACCGTTCATAATACCAGCTGTTTTGGAGTTCTAATAAAATCAAATCAACTGTTGACGGATTAGTATCACTCGATCCCTAGCGCTTGGTTATCCAGATGGGTGAGACTAGATTCTACTGCCATAAGGTTGCCATACAAACCCATAAAGAACATTAAACTGTTGAGCCGCCTAGATATTCCAATCACACGATGGGTCTTCGAGAACAAAATGATAGGGCTCTTGATTCACAAATCCAATGTACGAGACACTGAAGCAACATCAGATGGATATGTATAGACTCCAGCAACTAAGTTACGCTCTCAGGGTCACATGATCTCTTAAATTATGGAATCCACCTGAACGACTCGTTTTGAATTAAGGTTTGTAAATTATGCTAGATAAAAACTTTGAATCTGACAACTCAATTTATACACAGGATGCCCCCTTACCGCGCGACATTAAGGAAGTAAATAGGAACTCCTTCGAAAAGTTTTTGAATGGACAAAAAGATTGATTGAACTGTTTTATTAAGACATTTGGGCAACATCCTGCAGTACTGAAAATCGATTAATGATTGACGTCCAACTCGTTGAGGCCGAATACAGAAAATACTAATAATAAGTTTAATTTTAAGTGGTCGATTACGTGAAATAAATAGTGAAGCTGCAAACAGACCAGTGCCACACAAAATGTAAGCAAATAGAAGGCTGATTGGCTTTATTCTTTCTGCATAGTTGGCACAGCAATCGCAGAAATTGACACCGATATAAACCGGAATGTCAGTCGCAAAAATGGTTTGAAACAATAAACTAATACACGAAATAATTCACCACAGACTACAGTAAGTTATTTGCAGTGATCGCATTACTGGTTAGTGTATAAACTAAATACTAATGATAAACGCACGAAGGTAGTACACTGGAATGCTATACTTTAGGCGATCAGTTATAAGAGCATGGGAAATCTGTCTTTTATATCTTATTGACCCATATTTCAGTTGGGTAATTAAGGCTAACATCGAACATGTCAAGTAACGCTACTGATTGAGAAAAAAACAGTTCAAATTACATAAACCAAAGAGGCAGGGCAAAAGTGTTAGCTACCAAAAACCTTAGTCAAAACACAACTAACTATCGAAACTTTTAGTCCATTACCTGTTTCGTCAAGAAATGAAGTTTTACAGACTAAAAAACCTTAAAATTGGTGTGGTATTTGTGAAGGAACAGAAAACCTAATTTTTGGACAATTGACTTCAGTGTGGAAAAGTTACCAGTCATATTTTCATATCCGAACTTACTAGTCCATATCCCCAGCTTCTATCTTCTTCTGATGTGATATCAGCGACATATGCCAAAGCAAATGAAAATGTCACTGCGAAAATACCTGATATACTGATCATTGTAAAATACCACCAATGACTGATTTTCATCAGTGGTATTGGAGAACAAGAGAAGGTTACTGTTAGAAGTAGGAAAGGCTTTCGTCCAAACATGTCTGAGAGAGCACCCAGAAATGGTGCACTAAGGAAGGATAATATTCCCTTTACTCCGTGAATGATACCATTCATTAGAAACGTATGTTTGGGAAATGTCTCATCTAAAACCTGAAACGTATAAATGGTAACATAACTGGATTATACCGAGATCATTGGGGTGGTTAGCAATCCGAAGGCAAAGAACTCTAGGAATATCACGATGGCAGCATGATAAACAGTGGGTTTGGACCAACATGACTGTTCCTGAGAAGTTTGTTGAAGGTCAGCATATCTTACTTCGGGCTTGTGATCGCCAGATACAGTTAGACGCCTCCTACTAACCATGTTTTACAGCCTAATCGTCATAATTTGAAAATAACGTCAACGTTTCATTTGATTTTGGCGCATGTCGAGAACACCTATACAATATGCAGCATTCAATATCTCCCTAGAAAACTAATGCAAACCAAATCATTTATTTACTCTTTCTCTTTGATGTTAGTGTAAGGCTATAGGTCTTTAATATTGTCAGTTCTACACTACACCACTACAGAATGGGTGGATTCGTGCTAGCCAAAATAAGAAACTATAAAGATTTAGGAGTCATATTTAGCAGTGATCTCAAAACCACTAGTCACTGTAAGGCTGCCGCTGCGAAATGTTGTAGGGCATTATGATCTATTCGTAGGTCTTTCCAGTATTTAGATGGTGGAATGTTTGGATCATTATACCCGATTTATTTGCGACCACATTTAAAATATGGGATTCAAGCAGCGAGTCCTTGTTTCAAGTATGAGGCAGAGATGCTAGAAAGAATCCAACGACGAGGCACTAAGATGGTACAAAGTCTATCTGGCCTACCTTATAAAAACAGACTGAAACACCTTAACTTATTTCCGTTATCTTACCGTAGAATACGGGGTTATCTAATATTGGCTTATCGTATACTGAATGACGACCTTGGTATTAACATGTCTTATCTTTTGCTTCCATCTAGGACAGATCATTTGAGAGGACATTCAAAGAAAGTTCGAAAATCGAGATCGAATAGTTTACGTCTGGAATTTCGTCTTTCGCACCGAGTAGTGAATTACTAGAATTCTCTACCGGGACACGTAATATCAGTACCTTCTGTTGATATATTCAAAACAAGATTGGACCTCCACAGCATTACAAACTGCAAGGATTAATATGGGTCGATAGATATCCTATCCTTATTACTGAAGACTGAAGACTGAGTAGTCTAGGCACTCAGTGGCACTAATCATGGTGGATTTTAAGGTTGTTTGCTGTATATCTTATCCAAGCATTAATCAAAAGAACTTTCGCAACGCCAGTTATGAGGATATATAAAAGGAATTAGAAGAAAATCGCGAAATTAGACTGTGGTTTAAAGAAGTAAACAAATTGACTACGTACTCGGTATAGATAAACAAATGTCTAAAAATAACCAGTAAATATGGGTGTTTAAGAAAAGACTTAGTAGAAATAAGCTCAAGATGGCTTCAGAAATAGTGGAAAAAATGATATTGTAGAGGTACATAAACACCGAAAATAAATAGTTCTATGAGTCTTGATGCTGACCTGATTAATTTTAATGGAAACATCTAGCTGAAGGTGCTTAGTGACTCGTCCGCACCAGATCATGAGTGGGTGCGCCGCATCTCTTATGACAGTTAGCCAGCCTACAATAAACGCTTCTCGATACATCGATAGCCTTTCAAATATGTCCTCGAACCTTCTCATTCTGATATCTGATTTGACTGGATTGGCCTAGTAGGATTATAAACATGTTACATGTAAAGCCATTGTCAAACTCCAAATATCTATGGCATCTTTAGTATTTGTAGTGATAGGTTTCAAGACATGGTCCACAACTTTCTGGACATCACTTTCATGTGCAATTCGTTATAGGTTGTCTTATGAAATACACTGTTGAGTTTTTGGTAGAATTTTGTTACTGGACCGACATAAAGTACTTAGTACGGCGAGCATGCAGTGCTATTGAGAATGAAGCCAAAAATTTTGAAATCATCATTTCCGATCAGCTGATGCTGGCTTCTTTTCGATGCACCTTTCATTTTCTCAATACCTGAAGAATCCTTCTTCTCTTCGTAACAAGCGAAGGATAATCCTACTTACTTTCATATCGAACTGACATCATGTTGATTCTAATGGGAGAGTAATGCATTGTTTCTGGTCCTTAATCACATGATCCTTGAGGCTGAACGTACGACAACTGATGAGATGTATACTCAGTGTTTACATTGAAGAATTGGTGAGCGCGAAAACATCCAACTGTTATGTCATGGCTTGGCCATGCAGGTATGATAACTGTACGTTGCCTCTTCCTTGTCATATTAAATATATTATTCTACCCCCAGTTCATATATGTTCATCAAAAATGTTAAACGTAATACATATGGCTATGACGTAGGACGAGTCAGTATAGAAAATCAAGTAACTTGCATGTTAGATATTATAAATTAGGTAGTCACATCATGGGGACTTCGCGATTTTCGGATTAGGCCTATTATTCTAGCATCAAAAATAAATGTAATTAATACCGAATTAGGCATCAGTCTAAAAAACATCACTATCGAGTCGTCTTGTAATATTCTGTTACCTAGCAATTACAATATCGATTGATGAAAACGGTCTTCATGGGGTTTGTACCGTATTCATACAGTAAACGCTTTTGTGCATGCTCTACGAGATTTATGAACCTTTTAGGGGGTAGATTGCAAGAACTTTGTAAGTTCCGAGATATAGGAATGTATAGGTCTAGGATAGTGCCTGAAAAAACTCAGGATACAGCGTACCCATTCGCCTTTGGATGAAGTGAGAAGTAACATAGACTTTGACTGGACTCTTCAGTAGTTGTCGGTAACATGTAGGTAACAGACCTAGTTCACCGTCCATTGAGGTGCAATATGGGAAGTTATTGTAGAGCAAGTGGTCACTTTTTTGCCCCTCGGTGGCTCAAAATAACGTCGCTTTACACGTCCGGATACCGAATACTGAACCATGTTTTTTTGTTTATTCCTACAGCAACAGATATCTTCAGAGTTTTGGTGAATCGCCTTCATAAATGATAGTTATTCAGCTTAATTTCGCCTGCACAGATAATGGTTGACGAATTAGAGACGGCTAGTGGGTCGTTCATGAATATGAGATATCACAAAGAGTCCAGTACTATTCACTGAGTAACCAAAAATGTGTACTCAGTTTACTTTGGTGCGGAGTTCTCGGTCATATAGGTAGTTCGTTAACAAAGAGAAAGTTAGACATTTGAGTTCTAACCTGGCAGCCACTTATAATTGAATGTGTGTTGAGACAGGTTGCTTAATCAGTGCATGGGGAATTCCGCGAGCTTTTTTAGTATTGTAGGGCTTACTTCGTCACAACCAGATCATTAAGTTTCAATATTTTTCCTAGATCTGGGTCATGTGTAACCTGTTTAATAACGTACCATACTTTTCTGTTGTCCTTATGTCAACATTGTCTAAGCATCGTATTCGGCCAGTTTAAAAAGTACACGCTCGAGACTTTAGCGGCGCCGGAAATTACCTACTTTCAGATCCTGAGGTGACATTAATTCTCACTTTGTTCTTTTTCTTTGTAATACAAGTCAATACTGTTGTTTTGGATTTGAATGGAGTTTTTAGGTTTGATTAGGAAAATTTTTTATTCTTTCTTCCTCTTATTTTGTATATGTGTAAGATCCCTGTGCATGTAGATGGGTGCGTATGGGTATGCGTAAGTCTTTGTATGAATACTTTCCATGAGATAATAGATCTCCGTTTCGCCTCATATACTGTGTTACTTACGTGACTCCCTCAATCATTGTGTGTTCTGTTTATCAATATTCTTCATTTTCATATTCCACTTATGGTCGCTTAAAGATTATCTCTTTCCGACACTGCGGGTTAGAACCACATTTACAGGTCTGCTAAATAATTTAGGACATGTGTTTAAAAATGAGATGCTACTCAAGTAGAGTTACCGAGAAAGTAAATTCAGTAGGACTGTACCACAGTTTATTCAGGCAGAAACGAAACAAGTTTGTGTGGTAGCAGAGCATAACTAGCCTAAAATCCTTGTAAAATGTACAAAATGAAATGCCATACGAATTGTGACCATGACAAACGCATGCTGACTGTTTGTATTTGAGATTCATGAGCGAAAGGGAGATGAGCAATAGTAGTTTGTATATGTTGCTGTTTGGTACCATTGACTGATAAAGTGAGTCGCTATCACGTTAGTCCTATTCTGTATAGTGAATATAAAGGATCGCTTTATCCGCTTTCTTTTGGGTCAGCAGTTTGCGACGTGAAAAACCTGTTACACGCATATATGGTCCACGTTTGAGTAGAAGCTCTATCTTTGCGTGTTACAATCGCGGCAGTGAGAAGGAAGATGGGAAAATAGCAATAAGTAGTCTATAAACCCTTGTCGTTAACACAGGAACAAGAAAGATTATGTTTATTCAGCAGGTAAAACTCAGTCCAGTAACTATTATTAGTACAAAACTGTTATCAAAAAACTACAGATGAAGCACGGAAGCTAGATACTGTGTATGGTAGATTGTAAAACGAGAAAACAGGTCATGAGTTATAGAAAAAGCATGGAGAGTTTACAGATAATATTCTACACAAGTGGGCTAATTAAACAAATAAAAGCAATAAAAATAAGCGGCAGAATATTCGATAGATATACGGGCGGCCTAATAACCTGATTTGCTCAACAGTAATAAACTTTGTGTTCATAGTCATTAAGATCTGTTCAAAAATGGCATCGAGTCCAGTTTATGATGTTGGCGAGCACAAATTTGATCCAAAGAAGCATTTGCGTGTTAGAATCGGTATGTTGCTATGTATTCATGTGACGTAATTATTTTATAGGTTTATGGTCGTTATAACGTAACTATTGAAAGGTGCTTTGTATAAGCTGAGTACGTTGCGTCTATCGCAGGCGTAGGAAGCAGCTTCATGGCAGTTTACTGAGAATGTGATGCATAAAAGGGAAGCAAAAGAGCAGAAACGCGCTTTGATATAACCCTGAACAATACTTGGCAACTTGGGGCGGAACAGAAGAACGTATGAAAAATGGCTCTGTTTGTTTTGTAGCTATTGTTCTTATGTTCCACAATTAGCCCATTTGTCCTTCTTTTTGATATGGGTAACGAGGATGGTGGTGAAGTGTAGGATGATCCGGAGCATAGGCTTATTTCGTTCAGTGTTATTATCTACACTGATCCTAGCGATGAATTTGTTTCCGATCGTCCAGTATTATATGTTTCCTTGATAACGGTCAAATTGGATGTGTAGCCGTGTCTTTCGTTGGCTGAGTGAGGAATGTCTCAGTTTTCGTTGGTCAAGTGAGAAGGTTCACTTCATAATCTGAGGACT